CGATCCGATCGCAACGGCACGTAGACGAAACGGATTTGTTTCGGGCGGGCTTCGTTATATAGTTCAATGGTTTACGACGAGCGGTTTGATCATGTGCTACGAGCTTCAATGCCGTGCGAATTAAATTAATTATTCACATTTAATTGAATATTTGTATAATCATATTACCGTAGCTGAGAGTAATTAATGAGCGTCATAGGAATTATAAGATCACATCAAGCAATTTTATTTATCGAGACGTACGTTCTCTCAATATGCAAGCATCTGTGTCTATTTATTATTTATCAATTGCCCTTTCATTACGTTTGATACAAACGAAACGACAACGGGCTATTGAACAGAGCCGGCCCAATTCATCATTTTCAAGCACTCGATTCCGCGATCGAAGATCATTCAGCGGCGTCGAATTGTAAAAGTAATTCCTATAGGCACGATAACAAACGCGGCGGGTTGCAAAGTTAACGATAACGAGTTAATTAACGCGTCCGAATCGCGGTCCGTGTTAATTAACAGTAATTGACATGGATTAACGAAGTATTCGATTGGTCTGCGTATTAGTTGACTTTCACGCGTCGCCGCAGCGAGAAAGCGGCGGAAATTATTTAGCGAGTTGAAAACCGTGCGCGGCAGCAATTAAATCCACGCGAATTTTCATTCGAGCACGCAGTTGACGCGTTAAGTAGGTCGCCAATAAGACGATTCGTTTCGCTGCGGAATCGCACGTAGAATTTTCCCGAATAAAATCTAAACGGTGACATAAACATTCTGGGAAAAATAGTAGTCGTCATGCGCATCGTACGTCTCGGAACGTTCATAATGCAAACGAAATTGTTCAATTTTCTTGCAGAAGTAATTATATCATAGTAACTACGAATTCTTATTTCTTAGGTCGAGCTGGCATTCAGTTTTAATTTATTTTTCTTTTAACCGAGGTAAATTCCTTGTGGATTACGGAATCGCGCGAGTTTTCCGTAATCCGGTAACAGTGCGCTTCCTGACGACGTGAAAACAATGCGATTACATTCATCGCGCGTAGTAGCGCGTGCCGTTACCGCGGACTTGGCCGCGAACTCGCTAGCCTCTCTCTCCTTCTCGTATCCGAGAGTCGCGTCGTCGTTCCGTCTCAACCGGTGCCTCTTTCACCGGCGGGAATTAAAAATGTTTAATTAAAATTAATGAAACACACCTACGCGACGCGTGCCGGGGAGGCAAGCTCGGTAATTGGAGAGGTCTGAACCGCGGGGGTTCCGCGCCCCTTTGTCCGCTTCCGTCACCCATGGGGCACTGCCGTTCATCCCCGTGCATCTACGTGACTGTTTCCGTCGCGGAACTCTGTCTTCGTTACTTTTTCCCCCCTCGTTTTCCATTTTCACCGTAAAAAGTAGCGGATTTATGGGGAAAACGTCTACGCAAAACGCATTTTCGCCCTGTTTCCCCGTGTACTTACGCTACGCGGTGACGTCGTGCGGTGAGCGCGAGCGAGGGTCATGTCGGACTCGACTCGTTTTTTTTAATGACCGGAATGGACCGCGCTGATTTTCGGGAGCCGTCTGGGAAGTACGGGGTAGTCATTGTTAACGTGCCGGCGCAGTAGTTGATGGGAACGCGCAGAAAGTTGCTGAGGGAAATTCGGCTTTAAGCTGGATTTGTGGATCACGTTTTTCCCAACGTACAGGGTTAGGTGATTCCTTAATTTCCATGAACTTCTTCGGTACTTTTCCGGCCCCTGTTTCAACGAGACGATCACGGTAAAAACATAAACGACCAACAGTTTTCTCTCCATTAAACTGTTGAAGAAGCTTTGTTCCTCGTTTAAACACACTAAATCCGGCGGGATTGTCAGATGGCAAAGAACCGAGAGTACGGTATAATCGTCACGGTGTTCCGACAGGTTTTTTTCCCCCTCTGTCTCCGTTAAAAGCAGCCCGTCTAGGCTGCGAGGCGAGCGCGGAGCCGTAATTAAAGTTCAAACAGTGCGTTCCGCGCGGAACGGCGAAAGGAGAGCCGAGAGAGCGACGAGAAAAATTTTTTTAATCACGCTGGGTTGCATCTCCTATCGACGATCCGGCGAGAGGACTTCATTTTCTTCGGTGGGACGCGTCCCGTACCTAACGCCTCGCCTCGCCTCGCCTCGTCTCGCGTCGCTACCGAGTGAAACTCAATTTTCCGGTAGCTTTCCGTGCGTGGCAGTGCGTCACCGTTCGACTAACTAACCGGTTTACTTCCAATGTGTCGTGAGAAATAATAATTACATTTCTGGGGCATTCGGTATATCGCCAGGGGTGGAGCTGGACCGCTTGAAACTGAATAGGCAATTAAAAGCGCGTGAAAACTACGTAGATGACGAATCGATACGCGATAATATTTGTGCGCCGTGCGCGATTGTAGATTGAAGCGAGTTCGCCAGTGGATTTGCCATGATTATGTTTCTTCTGCCCGTATCACTGCGACGTGTGAATCGAATGATAAAAAGTCACCTCTGCGTGATTAATGGCAATTCGTTTGAGTCAGGAGAAACTGATTAACTTTTTAAAAGACCGACGATACAAGAAACAACGTTTGTAGATTTTTATCTTGGTGATCTTCACCATTAATTCCGACAATGTAGTTTCGTAACGATTTAATCGAGCGTATCTACAAACGTATATCTGGTTACGTAAATCATGCATTCCATTTTCCTATTTCACCGCTTGAAATCGAACAAGCACACGTTTATTATTATATAACACTACTTTATACCGTCGTTAACATCGAACCGATCATCCGCATAATTTACTTTACATAATTCGCAAAAATTAATTTGGCAAGTGAACGACAAAGATAAAACAAGGAAAAATTTCAGACCAAGGGTAGCAGAATTTGATCGCAATCGTAGTTTCTAATGTATGATAATTAACCTATCCCACTATCTATCGTCGACGTTCCCTCGAAAATTAGGAGGCAGGGATTAATCATTGAATTATTACTTCCGATGTTCTCTCGTCTGTCCATCCTCTTTCTCTTCTTTCCCACCGCTGGCTTTCTTCCTCGTTTTCACACAGTCTCATTTTCTTACTCGCTCGGTCATCTACTCGCTCATACCCGCATTCTCCTATACGCGCGCACATTCCCTCAACCCTTCGTTCGCCCACCCTTACACTTACTTTTTAACATACACGCGCACACGTATCGCTGTCGTTCCGTTTCCTATCTTCCCTTACACACGTTTTCTCGCTCGCTCTCTCACCCTTTCATTTATACGTACACAGGCGTACGCACACTTTCCATGCATGCACTCAATTTCTCGCTCGCTCTTTCACCCTTGCACTCACCCCCACACCTACTTCCGTCTCTCATATACAGGGTGAGTCGATAAGAACTGTCATTTGAGATGTCGAGATAGAAATTTTCAAGAATATAGAAATTAATTATATACTTCGTATTAAATTAGATAATCGATGATTAAAAACTGATTAAATAAATTATTATATCGAACAGACGAGTGTTATTAGTAATACATGTTAATGGTAGTATCTCTTCATTAGGAATTGTGAATTTATAGAATTTACGTACTTTTTAACGTACGTATTTACAGTAAATCGTAAAAAACTTCGTAATGTACATATCCATTCATTTTATCAGATGCACTGTTCCGGTTTTTTCGAACAGACGAACTGAACATCCAGAATAAAATCGATGATCGACGAATCAGATTTTAGACGAGATTCTTTCTGGAATCACCATGTATGATCAACCATTACTCTCTTTCACGTGTCGACCGTTCCTCCTTTCGCCCACGCGACTCCGTATCCGTATCTCTGTTCCTCCCCGTCGATATGACGATATATACGAGGCATCGCGAATTCGTCCGAAGCCTGACCCTTTAAGCCAGACAGGCTTTTCTATGGCCTCCACCTGCAAAGCTGTATTGTAGTGGGTCCCCCATCTCCTCGCGCCGCCCTCGCAAAAGAGTTTTTTGCCTCGTGCTCGCACTCACACGGCCGCGCGATTACTCCTCTCCTCTCGCGACGCGCGCGCGGGGGTGCTGCAAGCACGCGCGTGTGGACGCACGCGAGAGACGCGCAGACACGCGTGTGTACACACGTCCGCGATATCCCATATCGTTCTGCTCGGGCGTAGAGAGAAACCACCCTCGCCCGACCAACGTCCCCTCCCTCCCTCTCTCTCGCTTTCGACGGGAGGAGTGCTTTCGAAGCTCGCGCCTGTCGGCCAGACTGTCATTTCGATCCCGAAAGAGACTCAGCGGTTCTCAGCGAGCTGAATCCGCGTGGGCGCGCGAGAGGGTTGAAAAAAATCAGACCCAGACGCGAGCGTCGGTATCCGCTCGTTGCAGTCTGGCCATTGAAATCGAGCATGCGATTACGTGGGATGATTGTATGAATCCGAAGGGATCATTTCAATCTCTGTGAAAATATCGATTACACCGCCGATTTCTATCGACGAAAAATAAAATGTTCATAATGTAATTTTAAAATACGTGTCACAATTGTTTTATTATTTGAAGATTGAAATACGCGCTCAGCTTTTCATATTGCGAGTAGGTATGCACGAAATTCGTATTCTATCAGGAGAATCTGCTTTACAAGCTACAATGCTGTAATTGAAAATAAAATTTTAATGAGTTCTCGTATTTTATTAAGATTTTATACTGGCAATTTCTGCTTCCTGGGAATCTCATTTCATGTCACTCTGCTCCGCTTGTTAATATAAAAACTGTGCTGCAATAAATTCAGAAATAAAACAAGACCGTGAAGGGGGCGATCAGTTATCGCCTCGTTTCGAGGAAACATTACGATTGATGTAGGCGGAGTCGCACAGCACAAGAAAACTTTTTATAACGCTGTTATAAGCATTGATTTGTTTAATTCAAATAAAAGTTGAACGTCATTAAAAATTGATTAGATTCAAATATTAATAGAAAATTAAAAATGAATTTCTTATATTTCAATCGAGAGAAAAATATCTACTGAAATTAATTCATTGCTCGTTTCAATTTGCAGGAGGAAACCAACGATACCCTGCTGTGTCTCGTAAGCAGTGTGAATCTATCATTCTCACGTGAGTTCATTTCGCAATTGCAAGCATTTTTGATTATTAATATTTAATAGTTATATAACGAGCTCATAAATGATTTTCTTAAATGAGAAAATCGTATATGATTATTTTCATTCCATTGCCTATATTAATTATTGCAATATTTAATATCGTTGCTTTTTTTATAAACTCTTACTATATCAGATGCAAGCTAAATATTTTGATTTTTCGTATATCCATTGATTTTACAACCTCTCGTTATATCACTTCCAACTGCATGCTCGTATTCGTAGTAGTATTCGAGACAGAAGCACTAGAACGACCTTAGGCGTACACTGATCGTCGATCACCTAATCCGTTTCGTATTCTAAAGTCGCGGGATTTGTAGACCAAGTGGAAGCCATAAATTTCCATTGGTGTTCGCGCTGAACGATCATCCGATTGATTGCATTCCGTTCCACGAGAACATTCCAATAATAGTCCATCTTCGTTGTAAATCTTGAAGTCACTCCGTCAAGACACCCACATTCCCCCCGAATATACTTTTTTTTTTTTTCATTTTATCGACGAATCTCGAGGAGCCGTTCTCGTCGCCACGAGACACGTGAATTTCGACCGCGTCGTTTCCTCCCGTCGCTTCCGTCGTCGGAGAATCTTTACCGTCCCGATTTCACAGATTGAAGAAAAAATACGACTAATAAATCTTTAGAATTATAGTTATAAAATTTCTTTGCTAACTATGTAACTTTCAAACTGCAGTTTGTATTTGAAAGGGCAAAGCAATAATAATCAGCCTTCAAAGAACGTTTGAACTGAAAATTAAATTATTCCAAGAAGTTGCTCCTAGCTTCGCAATAAATGCGTTTCATATTTTACGATTTTCCTGCAAATGCGGCACGGTTCGTTGCGCTTTAAATTGCAGTAATTTCATCCGTTTCGATTTGCTCGAAGCGATACGTGTAACAGCATTTAATATTCGTATTAATTTCATGCGCGGTGATTATAAACTGCTGTTCTCCGCGTTTACACTACGATTACGTTCGGCCGGTCGAGAACTTTCGCAAAATAAGTTGTAAATGCCTCTACTCTTCATATTCTCGTTAGTCTGAAACTGAACTAACAAAATCTGTTAATTCGATGGCTACACCAACATCGCAAGTTAATTTTCGATTTACCTTGCGCATCACGAGAATTATAAATTAAAAGATATTTAAATCTCTCAAATCTAAATGTTGTACAGAATCAGACTGTCGTTTTACTAATAGTTATTGTAATCGTTAACAATATTATCCAGACTCGCGATTAATTTATATTGCGTAAAACGAATCGAGTGGGATTTCTGCGATAAAAAGAATTTAAACGGCTACCCGGTAGAGAATCGAAGCTCGTATGCAACGAATGGGCCCGCTGTAACGCTTCAGCTAGTTCCTCTTCTTCCTCCCCCTGCTGCCCCGTAGACTGCTACCCCTCAAGCGAGAGGGACGGAGGCAGAGAAGCCGGGGGTGCAGCGAAGAGAGACGTACAAGGGCGGGGGTCGTGCAGACACCCCCGTTCGCTCCCCTGCAGGCCGCCCACGCCATGATCAATATTACGCCCCAGAGCTACGGCATCCAAACCGACCTCGAGACGGACTTCTTCCTGTTCGAAGTATCCCGATGACTCGACGGGAAAACGCAACTTTCGTCCCGAAACTTCCCTTTAAATCGGAAGCCAGAAATTAGAAGGACCGCGATTACGGGATGGGAGGGGGGTTTTCCGACGCGAGGGGCTTGCGAACGCAGAGAAGAATCCGCGGAGAAAGTTTTCTGGGAAGAAAATGAGCGGAGGAAATGAGATTTCTTTTATTTTTTCGCTTGGAGAACGGGCAGGGCGTTGCATCAACTCAGAACTACAGCTTTTCATTATACTGATATCAAACTGTTTTTATTGTTCTTGTCTCAACTTAAATGTACATTACATCAATTTTATTTGTCGATTTTCGTGTCACGGTCACTTCGCGTATTCCAATGGCTCGTAATATTTTTTATATGCCACTGTAGTTATGGTAACTAATTCAACAATTCATCCGGCGAAGAAAAATAGTTAAATGAAATAGATGGCTGAGAGTGTTCCCCTTTCATCCATCACCATGTTGGTAAATAGAGTTTGGTTGTAGTTGCTACCGAGTTAGAGGCGAATTGAAAACTCGCGCCGCGCCGCGCCGGCTTGCTCGCAGAAAGGAAAGGCCGTTCGATGGAAACTTTGTTGGAAAGTAAACACCGTCTGGGCGGAGCTGTATCTGCAAAATTTGATAGTTAATTCCAATTCGACGACTTTTCCTCCAGTTTTTCTGATCCCAGATGAACGAGCTTTTGAAATAAGTCTGATAAACTCTATCCGGAGTCAGTACACTATGAAACGAAGGTTGCACCGTTGCTTAGAATCGACGTTTTAACAGTCTAGTGAATATGACAGACTGTCAGTGGATGAATATTTCTCGGTCATGCATTGCTCGTCTAAAATGTAGCGTGCAATGTTTTAGTGTCAAGCAGAATGAGAAAAGGGCTCTGAAAAAGGCAACCTTCATTCAATCCTTGAATATATTGTCAAAAGAAGGTCGAATTGAAAAGGTGGAACACACCGAAGTCCAAAAAAGATGTTACAATGCGACAATTGGCAGATTTCCAACAACAGGGTGGAAATAAATTTCTTCAATTATCCAACCCTTTTACATTTCTTTTTTTATCTCGAAACAATAGTCGTAGATGGGAAATTCAAATAATCGTTTAAATTTATTACGAAGCATACGGAAATATGCAGGAAAAGATGAAAAATAGCATTCGCTTGAAAATGATTCACGTGTACATAGATTCCTTATCGTAGATTACTTTGTCGTGCGATGGGAACACGACTCGTGACTTGGCAACGAGTAATTTCTGTTGCCGCGGCGTACGTGAACAAGCCATTCGGATGGAAAACCGGTGTTGTTGAAAAAAGATGAGGTTTCCGTGACAAATGGGAGCCCCATCGATGCACGGTCGTCAGCGCGGAAATTTCTCCGTCGTTTATCATTCGGCGATGGACCAATTGGTACGCACGTGACGCATAGTAGATAAACGGGGACAAAAAGTTTCGCGTTTGATACTGTGCAGTTCTGTCGTTTCAGCTCGCGGTCGAAACAACAGAACCAGAACATTTACTCTTCAATTGAATTGAAACATCTTTATAAAAATTAATGTTACGTAGGAAGATAATTATACATTTATGCTTTAGATAGATTTGCATTTAGTCGTAGAATCAATCGCATCTTAGATTTTAACGATACAGTATTTCGCGTGTGAATTACATGTGTATACTCCAAGTATGTAGAATCTCGATTCCAAACAATAGCAACTGGGCTAGTGCTCTCCGTTTCCCAGACGACCAAAGACCGACGGGTCGAGAACTATCGTGGGTCTCTCGAATACCCCATCAGAACCAGTTTATCGTACAGATCCGTATTTGTACAAGAACTGATATCACGGTTCGGTTTGGTAGAACGAGCCGAAGGGATTTCGAAGAAGTTTATTTACCACGCGTGCCATAATCATGTTTCAGACCCTCACGACTGTCTTCGGTAAGAACTGATTCAACGTGATCAGTATAAACGTGTATTATTATACTAATCACGTGGAATATGTTAATTTTAATAGAGTCAATTACAAGAAACGATAGATCATTGGCTAGAATGTACATAAATGCATTTGTCGGATATCTGTGTTCAATGGCTATGTGAATCGTCACTGGATGAATGTCTTGTTAATACATGCAAATGGACCTTTGTGTCACCTGATAGTTCCCAAAACGGACTGTACGCGTCAGGGAGGTCAGGGACTGTACGTCTGCCTCTCCAATCTGCAGGCTATTGTGACACTCCTCCAGTTCTCTGACTCCCTCTTTCCGCCCCTCTCTTTTCTTCGAGCAGGCCCCCTTCCGTCCTCTTTCCTGCCTTTTCGTCTCTTTCCCCCCTCGCTTCTGTTCCAGCCTCTTCTTTGCCGCCCCTGCGAGTTCTTCTTTCGCCACCCTCCGTCAGCCCGGTCTGGCTATGAGAGGAGCCGTGCATACCGGGCCACCCTTTGCGAGCAGACGGCCCGCTACCCTTCTCCCCACGCCCGGCTCCCCGTCCCGACATGTGGCGTCGACGCGAAAATTATTTACGTTTTTCTTTCCGGCGAACGCAGCGTCCTGCGCGTCTGAAAACACCGGACGTGGGTTCCGTTCGAGGGACGGGGCCGCAGATAAGGCTTGAAATCTGGAAAGAGGCTGCACAAAAGACGCGAGGAGTCTGGGTTAGGTACGCGAGATGTGCAAGGCGAAGGGTAGATAAGACTATCGGGGGTGAACGCGGTCGCTGAATTATTTGGAATGGGGTGTGGCAGATCGCATCGGTGGTTCATCACTTTTGAGATTCGGTTGCCGTTGGATTTAAATCTTACGAGCTGTGAATCGGGTTAATGGGGTTGACGAGATACGTTTCATGAGTTCTGAGAATCGTAGATGTACAGGAATTTTAGGGTTGGGTAGATGGAATGGAATTCCATTGAAAGACTTACGACTTTAGTTTAGTTAGACAATGCTGTTTGTTTATAAAAAGACATGAAGGATTACGTGGGGATGTGAGGATGACTACTACCATTGCAAAGTTAGGAGAGAGTTTTATCCACTACTTTTCCTTTAAAGTTTGCTGATAAAAAATAAAGCTGGTTGTGGAAAAACCGAGGTATATGTTCTTGTTCTGATCCGTTGAACTTACTATAACGAGATAATAAGAAAACTGTTGAATGGGGAAACTTGCGTTGAAGAATGTAAAGCTATCTGGTTTTAGCAGCATCGTTACTTCAATTTTTGTTTCTCCCTACCAAACTCTGAACTTGCAGTACTTAATAAAAATATAAAACATGTATGAGTTTATTTTCTTCGAAACTTTTTCCTTAAATCTCTTCTCACCAGATTTGCACTGGGAATATGAAGTACAATACTGTCGTCAGAGAGAAATTTAATTATAG